TGCTGCCGCCACTCCTGCTGCTGCTGCTGCCACTCCTGCTGCTGCTGCCGCTGCTGCTGCAGGGTTTGTGTGCTGTTTGTGTGCTTCTGCTGCGCAGCAAATGCCGTTCGCAGGAGAGGGTAATCAGGGGCCTCGAAGAGGGGGTAGGGCTTCTGCTGGAGGAGGTGAGGGGCCCCCAGCGAGGCAGCAGCGAGGATCGAAGGAGAGCTGGCGTCTGGAGGGCTCTAAGAAGCAGCAGCAGCAGCAGCAGCAGCAGCAGCGGCAGCAGAGTGCTGCACCGAATGAAGCAGAAGAACCCTACGCCCAGCCAATACAAGGGCCCCACAGCGGCCCTCAAGCCCCCGCAGCAAACTATCATAGGGACGGGTATCAGTTAAGTGCTGCAGCTGCTGCTTCAAGGCAGCAGCAGGAAGAGGAGACTAGGCATCAGCAGCACCTGCTGCAGCAGCAGCACGCGCAGCACCAGCAGCTTCTGCAGCAGCAGCAGCACCTGCAGCAGCAACAAGTTCTAGATCCGTACAGTAGTAGTGTTGCTGCCTACGAGGCAGCGTATGCAGCAGCAGCAGCTGCTGCTGCGCCTTCCTTGTATGGCAGCCTGACGCCTGCTGCTGCTGCAGCAACAAATACTGCGCTGCAGCACCTGCAGCACCTGCAGCAGCTGCAGCAAATGGGAGTTGCTACACAGCTGGGGCCCCTCCCCCCTTACTGCATGGGCGATCTAACACCCTTGGGGAGCCTGGACCAGCAGCAGCTGCAGCAGCAGCAGCTACAGCAGCAGCAACTGCAGCAGATGCAGCAGCAACAGCTGCAGCAGCAGCAGCTGCAACAAATGCAAATGCCAATGCTGTACGCCATGCAGCAGCCAGGCGGATCCCCTATAGAGCTGCAGCAGCAGCAGGCCTTGGTGCTGCAGCAACAGTTACAGCTGCAACAACTGCAGCAGCACATGCAGCAGCAAGACCCCTATCTACAGCAGCAGCCGTACGCATATACACTGGCGCAGCAAGCAAAGTTGTCTGCTGCTTACGGGGTTCCTGCTGCTTTGCTACCGCAGATGCAGCAGCTGCAGCAGCAGCAGCACTTACAGGCGCTGCAGCAGCAGCAGCTGCAGCAGCAGCAGCAGCAAAAGCTGCATGAACAGGCCAAGCAGACGCAGCACCAGGACATGCAGCAGCAGCTGCTGCAGACCGATCAGCATAGGCAGCGAGACCAGCAGCAGCACGCAGCCCCAGGCGAGGGCAAAGGCCCATCTGCTGCTGCTGCTGCTGCTGCAGATTCAGCTCAGCCGCAGCTGTCGCATAAAATGTATGATGGAGAATTTACGCGTCCTGCCGAGCAGCAGCAGCAGCAGCCGAAGCAGCACAAGCAGCAGCAGCCCCGTAGCCAGTCAGATGAGCCGCCGCCCCTGCAGCAGCAGCAGCATCAGCTGCCACCACCACAGCAGCAGCAACAGCAGCAAAGGGCAGCAGATAACCACAGACCCCGACAGACACCCCAGGGCACGCACAGACTCAGCAACACGCGCAGCAGAGGGGGCCGAGCTAATCGCAGCAGCGCAGCAGAAGTTGTACCTGCAGCAGCAGCAGCAGCTGCTGCTGCTGCTGCCCCTCTTTCTCCTGCAGCACCGGCAACCGATTTTGGCGCAGGCCACCCCTCGCAGCCGCAGCAGCAGCCGCCTCCGCCGCAGCAGCAGCAGCAGCAGCAGCATGCAGGAGGGAGTCTCGCATGCAGGAGTTCCGACTCTGCTGCTGGACCCCCTGCTGTACGCATGCAGCAGCAGCATCACAGCGGTGCCCATCCGCAGCAGCAGCAGCAGCAGCAGCAGCAAGGGCCCCGTCGGCAGCACGGCCGAGCTCCTCTTCATGACTCCAGAGGAACTCCCCCAGGAGGGCATTCGCTGCAGCGCCGCAGCAGCCAGCCAGAAGGAGACAGGCAGCAGCAGCAGCAGCAGCAGATGAGGAGTGAAGGGCAACAGAGGCATGCAGCTGCAGCAGCAGCTGCTGCAGCTGCTGCAGGTGCAGCGCCGCAGCACCAGCAGAGACACGAGCGCGGGCCTGCCCGGCAGTACCCATTAGATTCGCAGCAGCAGCAGCAGCAGCAGCCGCAGCAACCACCGCAGCAGCAGCAGCAGCAGCAGAAGCCGCGTAGAGGAGGGCGTCAGCAGCAAAGCCGCTTTGGAGGTGGTGGCGGCGAGGGCCCCATGGGGCCCCTGGGCGAGGGCAGCAGGGGCCCCCGCCTGGGGCCCTCATCTTCTGCTGCAGGTGGGTAACCTACAGCAGCAGCAGCAGCAGCAGCAGCAGCAGCAAGAACAGCAACAGAAGCTGTAGCAGTAGCAGGAGCGATAGTAGAAGCAGCAACAACAGGAACAACAGCAACATCAGCAGCAAAAGCAGCAGCAACAGCAGCAGGACAACAGCAGCAACAACGGCAGCAGCAGCAGGAAGACACTATTAGCAGCAACAGCAGCAGCAGGAAGCAAGGGTATTGTTGGTGCGTGTGTGTGCGTTTGCTCAGGACATGGTAGGACTTCAGGGGGCCCTGGGGGCCCCCAAGGTTCTGCTGCAGCAGCAGCAGCAGCTGCTGCTGCTCCGAGGCAGCGAGATGTGCAGCAAGAAGAGGCCCTCGACCGACGAATTCAAGCTATAAGTGCAAACAACCGCGAAGTGGAGAAGAGGCACCGAATAGTAAGATGTTTAGAGACACCTGGCTGGGTTTATTGGGGACAACAGAGCTGAGAGGCTGCTGCTGCTGCTGCTGCTGCTGCTGCTGCTGCTGCTGCATTTGCTGCTTCTGTGCTGGTGCTGCTGCTGCATTTGCTGCTTCTTTGCTGGTGCTGCTGCTGCATTTGCTGCTTCTGTGCTCGTGCTGCTGCTGTGCTGTTGCTGCTGCGTTTGCTGCTGCATTTGCTGCTGCTGTGGCTGCTGCTGCTTCATTTGCTGCTGATGTGGTGCTGCTGCATTTGGTGCTGCTGCAGGCGGAACAGGAACGTCAGGCAGCACGAAGGCTGGAAGAAGCAGCAGCAGCAGAACGAGCAGCAGAAGGGTCTCCTCAGACTCCCTCCTCAAGGCTTGTATCTGCTTCTAATGGAACACACCCACGCTCCAGCAGCAGCAGCAGCAACAGCAGCAGCAGCAGGGGCGAGGGTAAGGTTGCGGTTGTAGACACTGCAGGGTCAGACCCGGGAGCAGCAACGGTTGCAGCAGCAGCGGGGGCTTCCCCTGCTGCTGCTGCAACCGCTGCTGCTGCACCAGCTGCTGCACCTACTCCTCGGGCGCGCTCTGGCCGGTGGACGAATTCTTATCAGGGGAACCAGGAGCCGGGAAAGGGTGCAGCAGCAGCAGCAGCAGCAGCAGCAACAGGTTCTGCTGCTGCTGGTGGTCCCTCTAGTTCAGGAGGTGGAGGCCTTCGAGATGCATCGGAGACCCACGCTTCTCCTCAAAGGGTGCTGCTGCTGCACAGGCAGCAGCAGCACCCGCATACACAGTCCAGCCGGCCCGGTAGCGCAGCAGCAGCAGCAACAACAACAGCATCAGCAGCAGCAGCTAGCGGGGAGGGGCCTTCCAAGCTGAAGGGCCGCTCCACACGAAGTGTCTCCCGAGGCGGCACCCGCAGCAGCAGCAGCACGGGGGGCCCCGATCATTCCTTAGAGCAAGAGCAGCACGAAAAGGCGCCCCCAGTGGAGGGAGACCCGCCTCAGCAGCAGCAGCAGCAGCAGCAGCAGGCAGCAGGAGGCCGGAAGCAGGTAGAAGGCGTTGGGGCTTGTGGGCCTTCACGAGAACGACGAGCCCGGCAGGCGGCCCTTAAGCGCCAGGAGTTATCACAGCAGCAGCAGCAGCAGCAACAGCAACAACAGCAGCAGCAGCAGGGGAACGATTCTCATCGGTTTGGTGCTGCTCCGCCTGCTTGGCGTTCATCCGGGGCATCGAAGCAGCTTCGGATGTCTGTACAGCGGGAGGGTGTCTATACAGCGAAGCAGTTGGTAGCGACTGCTGCAGCAGGGCCTTCTATTGATGCAGCAGTGTCTCCTTTTAAACCTCCTCCTCCTCCTTCTTCTGCTTCTTCTTCTTCTTCTCCTTTGATTGAGGCCTCAGCAGCAGCAGCAGCAACAGCAGCAACAGCAGCAGCAGCAGAAAGCAAAACGCCGTCGTAGTGTCTCTGCAGCGGCTTGTAATGTCTATAACAGATCTGTCTCTTAAAGGTGTATAATTAATTTTGTTGCTGCTGTCTTGTTTTTAGCTTTACTTCTAGGGGTCTTTTACAGCAACAGCAGCAACAGCAACAGCAGCAGCAGCAGCAGGCGCTGGTATTGCTGCTGCTGCTGCTGCTGCTGCTGCTGCTGCAGCTGGCGCCTTACTTTCTTATGCATCTCCTCTCTTTTAAGTTGCTGGGAGCCGGCAATACAATACCAACGGAAGCAATCTGTTGTCTTTTATGAATCCTCTGTACATCTTTTATCTTATCTTTGTCTTATTACTTTCTCTTTTTATATCTTTTTAAGCTCAGCCTGAAGAGACAGCAGCAACACTTTATATTATGTCTCTCCTCTTGTCTTTGTCTTTGTCTTTGTCTTTGTCTTTATATTTGTCTCTTTTGTCTCCTTTTATATCTCTTTAAGCTTTATATGAAGAGACAGCTGAGATATTCGTTTTTAGGTGTAGACGCTGTATATACACCGGAGAAGGAGACCCTCGGCAGATGTATAATTAATTTTGTTGCTGCTGTTTTGTTTTTAGCTTTACTTCTAGGGGTCTTTTATAGAAGCAGCAGCAGCAGCAGGTGCTGCTGCTGCTGCTGCTGCTTCTGGCGCCTTACTCTCTTATGCATCTCCTCTCTTTTAAACTCTCAGCAGCTGTCTCCTGCCTCTTCTAGAGGCCCTTAAAGACAAAAACAAATAAATATAATTTATTTAAGAGACCTTAAAAACAAAAAGAAAAAATATAAAATATATATAAATCTGCATTTCTTTTAATAAAGCAAAAAACAATTGAAAGAAAACATCATTATTATTAATCTTTTTAAGTATCTGTTTATGAATATAAATATATATATAAATACATAAATATAAATATATAAATATATATATATAAATATATATATATATATATATACAAACAAATATATATATACAACTATATATATGTATATATATTTAATTTATTTGTTTATCTTTGTACTTCTATAGTTTGTTCTTTGTATATTGTTATTCTTTTAATTCGCAGTGCATCCTTCGACTGCTTTAATTTAAATGTTCTACAGAATATATTAATATATAAATATATTTAAATTTTAAGGCATGTAGATATATATATATATATGCATTATATAAATTATATATGTAATGTATATATATATATATATATATATCATATATATATATTTATTTATTTATAGTAATGCAGTCTGGCTTAAGGGGTATAAGGGAGAGAGTTTAATAATAAGCGAGAGAGACAAAGTTTATTTGTTTAGAGACAAATGCTGTCCTGGAGGATTATAAGAGACAGCAAGACAGCCGAAATGAAAGACAGAGAGACAGAGGGGGTAGAGACAGAGACTAAAGGAGACAGAGATAGAGACACACAGCCTAAATGTAAGACAGAGACAGAGACGCAGACAGAGAGACAGAGACAGAGAGATACAGAGAAAGAGACAGAGACACACAGCCTAAATGTAAGACAGAGACAGAGACAGAGAGACAGAGACAGAGATAGAGAAACAGACAGAGACACACAGCCTTAATGTAAGGCAGAGACAGAGACAGACGGAGACAGAGACAGGAGACAGAGACAGAGACAGAAGGTAAGGGGTATGAGAGACGGTGCTTAAGGTTAAGAAGAGACAGATTGAATAGCTTGGGAGTTAAACGAGACAGAGACAGAATTAATGAAAGACTCTAAGAGAGACAGCTTGAAGCTTCTAAGAGACAGAGACAGCCTCTGCGTGCAATAGCTTAAGAAGTTTAGAGATAAAATGCATGCATGCATTGTTGTTAGGAGTTTTGTTAAAATTATTTTCTTTAAAAGAAATACTTTTATAATATTTAACTCTTAAATCTGCTGCCCTGCAGCTGGTGCAGCGTCGCCTCAGCCTCTGCAGGCTCTATCAATTCCTCTCTATATTATATATATAATAATAATAATATAAATATATATATATTATATAGTATGTAATATATTTATGTTATATATATATATATTTATATATTTCTTTAGCTGCTCTGTGCCTTTGTTGAAGACTGTCTTTTTAGATATACATGTTCGCATCTAGAGGCTTTTTATATACATATTGTTATATATATATATATATATTATTTATTATATATATACATAAATTTAGAGATATCTATATTGATATCCGTATCGATATATGCACATATATATATATATATTTATTTATTTATGTCTGTTTGTGTAGAGGGCATGGTTTCGTGTAGATCTATGTATACATCCGCACAAATATATATATATATAGAGCATCTTATATATAGATTTATATATATATATATTTAAAAATAGATATATATATAAATGAATATATATATATATCTATATATATTATGCTTCTAATTATCTGTTTGCTGTTTCTCTCTGTTTGTGTGTCTCCTCTCTATGAGTGTCGATGTTTGGGGTGTCTACGCAACTGAGCGGTAAATGTTTGAAATATTAATTAAATAAAATTTAAATAAATTTAAATTATATAAAAAAATAAAAACAAAGAAAATATGTTTCGCAGCTCGAGTCTAATCTGGTGAAGGCGTGCAGTGCGTGAGGGTGAAGGGGGTTTAGATTGTTTATAGAGTAGAGGGTGTATAGGGGTATAAGTATTTAAAATAAAGAGGAAATATAGACTAAAAAGGATAAAATAGTATTTTAAAAAGATAATTTCAAACAAAACGCAAAAAGATAATACAAGACATACCCCTATACCCTACCCGCAGCTAGCTACAATCGATTGCTGCTGCTATAGAGACCCTAAGCAGCAGCTAGCAATTTTCTTTCTTTTACTTGGCATTTGTTTTATTTTTAAAGTTTATTCTTTTATATACTTTAATTATCTACAATTTAAAGAGATATAACATCTTTTTAAGCACTCTGCTGGCCGATCTCAAACAAAAGTAGGTTAAGAGACAGACAGTCTTAGCTGTTCGCGAGTTTATTTTTTTTATCTTCTTTTCATCTTTTCATCTCTTCTTTTCTTTTATTTATTTTTTTAAGTGTCTCTGCTAGACTTTAATAATACTTCTCTCGTTCTTCAGGTGTACATACACTCAACTGTCTCAGGCAAAAGAAAGAAAAAAAACTTTGTTTGTCTAGCTAGCTGTGCATTATTGATAATATATTTGTATATATATATACATATATATATATTTAATCGGTGTGTCTGTTTAAAGCTTTTTATTTTATATTTTATATTGTTTTATTGCATTTGTCTGCTGCTGTGCTGCAGATAAGAGAGAGACTTGTCTTACAATGAAGCTTTATACGCTAATAATATCTATCTACACCAGCTGTCTCCTTCTCTCTTTCTCAGTGTCTTTAGCAAAACAAATGCCAGAAAATTTCAATCAAAGAGCAGCACCTCAGGCTTGCGGTGTATCTGCAGACACCCCAACGCCCTCAGGCGTCTCCTTTGCTGGGCCCTCTAATAACTCATCAGCTTCGAGTATGCAGCGTAAGCTCTCTTATAACACAACACGAATGCACATACAAATAGATAGACTTCTGCTGCTGCTGATGCTGCTGTTGCTGCACCTGCTGCTGTTGCTCAAGCTGCTGCAGCGGTTGCAGCTGCTGCTGCAGCTGCTGCTGTTCCTCCATATGTTGCTGCTGTTGTTGGTGTCGCTTCTGTTGCTCCAGATGCTGCATTTGTTGTTGCAGTTGCTGCAGTTGCTGCTGCTGCTGCTGCATAATATATTACCTGGGTTTTGTTTTGCTGGGGTTTGGCTCAGGCACAACAATTCGAAATGTGTGGGGGCGTCCACCTGCTGCTGCTGCTGCTGCTGGTGGTGCTGCTGCTGGTGGTGGTGCTGCTGCTGCGGGTGGTGGCGCTGCTGCTAACCGCAACACCTATGAAAGAGAATGGCCTGGGCTTAGCAGCAACCCCTCTCCGCAGCAGCAGCAGCAAACAAGACAATCAAGATTATCTTACCCTCGAGGCCGACGCAGGA